CTGAAAAAAATTGAAGAACATCTCAGAAGATGGAAAGGCATCCCTTGCTCATGGATAGGAAGAATAAATATTGTGAAAATGGCCATTTTCCCAAACTGTTATTCAGATTCAGTGCAAACGCAGTAAAATACCATTCACATACCTAATAGATCTAGAGAAATCACTCCTAAAATTCATCTGGAACCAGAAGAAACCTGGAATAGCAAAGGCAATTCTAGGCAGCAAAGGCAAGGCAGGAGGCATCACAATCACTGAGTTGCAGTTATACTAGAAAGCAACTGTAATAAAATCAACATGGTACTGGAATAAAAACAGATGTGAAGATCAATGGAATAGATTAGAAGATACAACCACAACTAGCAATACATTCAAACACCTTATCTTTGATAAAGGGGCCAAACATGTTCACTGGAAGAACAGCAGTCTCTTTAATAAATGGTGCTGGAAAAACTAGCCCCCATGTGCTGAAAACTAAAACTAGACCCATGTCTATCACCATGTACTAAACTAAAATCTAAATGGATCAAAGATCTGAATATTAAAACAGAAACACTAAATCTGTTGGAAGACAAATTCGGTAAAAATCTTGAAGACATAGGGGTAGGTAGAGAATTTATGAACAGGAATCAAACCACATGGGTTTGATTGAAAAAGTTTATGATCACATCTTATGAAAAAGTTTCTGCATGTCACAAGAAATCTCCAGTGTAGTGAAAAGAAAACTCACAAACTGGGAAAAAATCTTAGTGAACTGTCCCTCAGACAAAAGACTTCTTCTAAAATATACAAAGAATTAAAAAACATCAGACCCCCGAAATTCAAAGACCCAATCCAAAAATGGACATCTGAGATGAATACACAGTTCTTAGATGAAGAAATACAAATGGCAAACAAATACATGAAAAAATGTTCATCATCATTGGTCATTAGAGAAATGCAAATTAAACCCACACTGAGATTCCATCTCACTCCAGAAAGAATGGCCAGAATCAAGAAAACTACCAACAACAAATACTTGAGAGGCTATGGGGAAAAAGGAACTCTTTTGCACTGTTGGTGGGAGTGTAGACTGGCACAGCCACTGTGGATATTAATCTGGAGATTCCTCAAAAAGCTGGGATTGGAGGTCCAATTTGACCCAGATATTCCACTTCTAGCCATATTCTCAGAAGAACTGAAAACATCATACTACAGAAATATATGTGCACCCATTTTATAGCAGCACAATTTATAATAGCTAGATCTTGGAAACAACCTAAGTGTCCATCAACTGAGGAATGGATAAAAATGTTGTGGTATTTTTATACAATGGAGTATTACTCAGCTACAAAGAATGATCACATTGAGATATTTATAAATAAATGGATGCAACTTGAGACCATACTCATAAGAAAAATAAATCAAACTCACATGTATGAATACCATATAGTCTCCCTAGTGTAAGAAATGGTAAGAGTACATAAGATTTTATGGTAATCATGATTCCCGAATACATTGCTTCGAAGCCTTATAATGTTTGCTTTCATTAGTTGGAATGGTTTTATCCTGGTTTGTTTCATTTTATTATCCATGATAGCATGAATAGCTATTTTGAAGAAAACAAGACATTATAACAGCCATTGCTGATTTAATATCTTACTCTAAAGTCTTACCATGCTTTTATTTTTCTGTTACCATTGCTTTTATCATATGGTATCTTATTGGATTTTATTATGTATGTAGCATGAACAAATTTTCTATGGGAAATTAGATAATATAGTAGCCATTGTTCATTCTCTGTTATTTGGTTCTGAATGCCCTGTAATACATTCATTCTCTTGAATTGGTTTATACTATTTTGTTATGTTTGATACTATTGTTATGAAGTTATGCTCAACTATTTCAAAGAAAGAGATATTATGGTAGTTACTGTTAATTATGGATTGTCCTGTGATGAAATGCTGTGTTGCTTACATTGTTTTATTCTGATCTGCTTTGTTATGTCCTCTTTTGTCTTAATCTCTTTAAAATAAAAAGTAAAAATAAAAAAATAAAAAATAAAAGATTATGTAGTCCCACCAGAACTCAAAATAACCCAAAATAAATGTACAGACTATCCTGTTTAGATAAGAATAAACAGTCACAGTTTGTCAAAGGTCAATAATAAATGAACTCCAGGAAGGCATGAACAAATACAATGTAGTAAAATATTCAGGAATGCCAACTTCAATATTGACTCTGTCTTGGGCCATTCACAAAACAATACAACTAAATGGCTTGAGAATGTGTATTGAGCGTATATTAGTTATAATGTGCATACTATGTATTAGGTATATATGTAAATACATTTTATCACCTACCTCTGCCTCATCCTCCATCACTCTCCTCCCCTTCCTCTTCATCCCAGCTCTGCTAACTTTCTCTCAGGATGTATCATATTCCTTCCTCACTCAGTTTTCTCATCTTCTCTTCTGTTAATCTGACCCTCTTCCCCTTTAACCAGAGTTAACTATTATTTAGGCTTAAGTGTCTTCTACATGTAATTTTCTCTCTGCAACTTCATGGAAATTTGCATGTTCCTTTCCTTTCCTAGTTGTGGCGAGCTGCAATGTCTAGGTCCGAGGCAAACAATAAATTCCAAGAAAAGAGGGATCTCTACTATTACTAGTTTTCATCTTTTCACAACTGTATTTCCAGTGCCAGTGCCTAGCCTTAAGAATAACTCGATCAATATTTGTTGAAAGAGTAAACGAAGGATTCTCTTCGTGATCAGGGTATTAGTCTCAACACTTTATAAAATCTCAGTGCTGCACAATGACTTGATGTCCAAAAGGGAGATCTCTCTTCGGTGTGAAGCATAACTGAAAAACACAGTGCTTACATTTTAAAGTGTAAAGGACACAGTGCACTAAGCCCCCTCCCACAAGACTCTAACCCCGTTTTGAATCCACTTGTGCTATTGTTCTTGCCACTTTCTGAAGCAGTTCTGTAAGTCCTCTTTTTTGTCTTCAGATGCATTATGGCCACCTCCATATCCTGAATTAATTCAAAACATTTATCATTCATGGTCAGTATGACTCTGAGAAGAGCCAAAGCTGTATGGTACCAGCTCTGGTAACAAAGTTGATTGAGGACTATCTTTCTTACTTTTCTCATTGCTGAGACAAAGTACCAACACCCAAAGTTAAAAGGGAAAAGATTTATTTAGTTCACAGCTGTTAGAGGTTCCAGTCTATAACTGGCTCCAAGGCAGGGTGGCTTGGCAGAGAACACTCCATGGTGCCCACATGGCAACAAAAGCAACACGGAGCAGACATGACTCTTCCTGTCCCTTATCCTCTATGCAAGCCTCCTGCTGTAGGGTGGGTGTGTAGCACTCACGCCCTTAATCTCGTCTCACACACTCTAAATTTAGCCACCTCCAAAAAACCCCTGTGACCACATGAGGCTTTGGGGGTACCTGTAGATGCAAACTGTAATGAAGACACATCACAATGTTTTTATGGTCCTCTTTTTCCACTGGACGGCATTTGGCAGCCACATTCACCATATTTTTGAACACTCTTTGCAAAGATGCTAATGAAAAAGAATTTCCAGGACTGCTTCTGAAAGTGACATGACTGATGGAATAACTATGTTTAAAGCGAGGAGCAGCATTGTGAGGGTGATTAACAGCAATATGTCTTTTACTATAATTTTTTAAAGACACCATAGTTTTAAATCATCTTTTGTACATTACGGATTGAAGTTATTTATTGAGTTTTGTGCTTCTGAAAGCCAATGCAGTACTCAAGACTTCCCCTGAGAATATTTTGGTGATCCGAAAAGTAACCAGAAAAAAATTTCAGCCTGGAATTCAGGAGAAGCTAGGAGCTAAATGATGCCTCCTTGCCTACTCAGATTGAAGAGGAAAGTGACTCTGGTAGCATTTAGTCACGTACAATGACAACTTTGTGGACCATCGCAAGGCTAAGTCTCCCAACTAAGTGGCAAGCACCAGGAGCTCTTCATGAGCCTGGAGTGACTTTATGGAGACCTGGGACATGATATATTTTGCTTTACAAACAAGATGTGTTGACTTTTAATTTAATGCAATGTGGTCATAGTACCACAACTCTTGAGAGAAGGTCCTGATCTTGGGAGTAGGATGGCAATGTCAGCAAGATAGGACAACAGCAGAGTGACTAGTTACACCCATCAATCTAAGGGAAAGTGCTACTATTGTTAGGGTGTATTGCTAATTTGCTGTATTACACCTTGTGAAAGACTAGTTCACTGAACCCTGGCTCCTCTTAAGCAGACCCTATCATGAATAGTTCTGCTCAAAAGTGTAGAATATACTATTAACATAGGTGTGGTTTTGCTTTCCTCCCCAGACATCAATAAGTTTGAGAAATATTGAATCTATTCCCTCCTTCTTGGGAAGCTGCTGATGATTCTGACAAGTCCTGCAGTAAAGAAGGTTCTTCAGCTCATTTGACCATGAAAACCTATTTTTTAGGAAAGATGTATGCATCATTCAGAATAATCTTAGAATGTCATTACATGCCACCTCTAAACTTCAATGGCTTCAAATAACATCTCTTCTACACATTGTATATCCACATTGGTTCATTGACAGTCCTGTGCCACACAGTCCTTACTCTGGGAGCCAAGGTGTCAGGGCAGCTGCCGCCTGAGCATTTGCTCTTTCAGAGAAAGTGAAACTTATCACCTCAGAATCACACGTAACTTTGGAATTTTGGATCATAACACACTGGCCAGAAATAGCCAACACTGTTCCCAGTGAAGCTAGTGAAGTACTGTCTCACCCTGTACCTGGGAGGTAAAGAGCCAGAAATAGTCTATGAGTCCCACTAAGGTCTAACTAACTCTGCTGACCCTGGCACTAATGTCCCCTGAAGTATAATTGGGACCTACTGTTGTTCATGAAACAAGAATTGATAGTTACTGTTCAAGAGTTCTTAGCACCTGTTAATAAAATTACATGACCATACTCAGGAAGAAGAATTGGAAGGCTGTTTTATAAAAAAAATTTATTGGAGGATATAGTTTGGAAGATTTTATGAAAACAATTTCTTTTCACTTATAATCTCCAGTGGATTTCCCACAACAGATAAGAAAATGATTTTCCAGCCAGTACATCACTGTTTCTCTCAAATACAAATGTTCTATAATGGAAAACATGACTAATTTCATAATATCACCCATTTCTAGACTCCTGGGAGAGTTGCGTTATATCATAAATGCCCAGTTACAGTATCTTCTATGCAGTTGTACAGAATTAATAGTATCATGAGATAAATCACACGATAAGAGCAATAAAGGATTCATATATACATAAAAAATTATTTTATGTTACTATTGTAACCTCTGAAAATTAATTCTAAGGACGTCTACTGACTCAAATTATTTGTCTTGGCATCTTGTTTGATAGTCCATAAGTGTATCACATAACAGCACAAAAAAAGACAATGATAATTCTCAGAAATAAACACAAGTTCTCAGATGTCATCACCTGCATACTAAGCATAATAAAGATCTTATCAAAGGCCATTCAAGAGTCTTTAATCCACTGTTTCTGTGAGAACCACAAGCTGTTAAATTCATGTCATTTCCCTGGCCAGCACTAAGTTCATCTTCAGTTCTATCTTATGTATTTCCTTTATACAAACAAAATTACACAACCTAATACACATAAAATGATTTTGGCAGTGCTTAGGACATAGTGGTCACTAAGCCTTGGTTACTGTTACTATTTCATGTCTTACAAATGATGCATTGTATGTTACATACCTGCAGAGGGTTTAAAATGTGAACTGCTTAACAAGTTTGATCTAGTGGTCCTGGGAGAGAGAAAATCTAATACCAAGACACGTTTTACATTTTCCTTATTTAAAATGAAAAAGGCAAATGATCTTAGAAGTGATTAAAATCGTTTGTGTATACCTTTAGAAAAATACCTCCAAGCTACTGTGCAAATGGGGTCAAGAACAAATTAAAAGTAATTTTTGATAACTGCCACAAAAATGCACTGATTAAAAGAAATCTCCCTTCACAATGCACACCTCCAGACTGCGGTAAATTTACTGCAACATTATTAAAGCATTTTGGTAAATATTTTATTTTTATAATAATGAATCTGATAGCTCTAATATACTTTGCTTCATTTTACATCATCCATACCACCTTCTTCATTCCATTCACTTAACATATCATCTTCCTGTCTGGGTACTCCTGCTGGTACACTGTCAAGAGCACTTAAATCTTTGTATTTCATAGAACCCATCTCAGAATGTATCTCCGTTGTAGAGGCTTTCGCCCCCCAGAAAGCCTTCACTGCCACCCTGGAAAAAAAGACAAAAAGCAAAAACAGAAACAAAAAATATGAAATAAAAGCTAACGAGATTCATATTTACACAATATCATATATATATATATATATATATATATATATATATATATGTGTGTGTGTGTGTGTGTGTGTGTGTATGTATTCACACATACACCAGCACAATTTTTTTGCCTTTTAACCACCATTCAATTTTAGTTTGTGATGTATCTGCTCCATTGTGATAGTAAATGAGTCTTAAGACTTACTAACATGTTATTCTCACAAAGACATTCTATTTTCATAAAAACCAATTGGTACGTTTCAATAGTCAGATTTTACCATTGTGAGAACTACAATTTGGCAGCATTAATATTCATTTAATAAGCTTTTTTTTTTAACAATAGCTTTGTAACATTGTAAAAATTTCACTTAAAAGCTCTCAAAAGCCATGAGATTATTTTTTTTAAAAATCCACTACAGGTACAGGCTTATAATCCCAGCACTCTGGAAGACTGAGACAAGAGGATTACAAATTTAAGCCCAATGTAGGCAGTTGAATGACTTAGCAAGATCCTGTCTCAAAACAGAAAAATAAATTAAAAAGAGACTTGGAGATGTAACTTAGTATGAAGACCCAGAGTTTAATCTCTAGTAGCAACCGAGACAGATAAGAAAGAGGAAGGAAGGAAGGAAGGAAGAAAAAAAGCACAGAAGAAAGGAGGGAAGGAAGGAAGAAACAAAGAAGAAAAAGGAGAAGGAAAGGAAAGGGAAGGAAAGGAGGCGTAGCCCAAACTAGGAAGTTACAAGAGCAATGAAGGGAGCTGAATGGTTTCAAGACGCATTTAGGAGACATTATGAACAGTGTTTTGCAATTCATTGAATAAAGGAGGGAACGTGGAAGATGATGTCAAAAGTAACAATGTAGCCTAGCCATTCACCTACCAATTTATAATTATGAAGATCAGTATGAAGATTATGAATATACAGATAATGACTCCAGTAGTCAGCACAAAGACTAGGACTATATCAGTGTCTGGTCGGGTTGATCTCATCTGCATTTCTAAAGAAAACATATACATAATTATTTCTACCAAAAACAAAGAAACAAATATCTTAGTGGAAAGTTAATATTTGAAAAAGCTGTAGAAAAATGCAAAAACTGAAAAAAGAAAATTCTTAGTGAAATTTCTCTGCAGGTTTAAAGTATCTTTGTAAACATGGAAAAAGTTGAAAGAACTTGACAGTGAACATCTATATCACTGCCACCTATATAGTCCATTAATACAGCATTTTTGCAATTCCTCTATCCACCCAGCCCTCTATAAATCCAGCAATTCACCTAATTTTTCATAAATTCTAATACAATTGGCAAACATCTGTACAGTTCCCCCAAATTCATCAGCAGGCATATTATTAACTGGAGTAAACACTGACTTACATTTTTTCTAATTTACACATAATGAATTTCACAAAGATTTTATATATTAAGTGCAGACATATATACATATAATCCAGTGTTGATTAAGACAATATTATTAAATCCTAGAAAGTGATCTTGATCCCGCCTCATGCTCCAAATGCAACTACTGTCCTGATTTTCTTTGCAAGCATAAATTAGTTTTTCCTGCTCTTCAATTTCATAATAGAAATATATATGATATGCATTTTGGTATTAAAGCGTTTTCCCTTCTTAGTACAATGATTTAGAGATTCACCACACTGTTAGATATAACTATAGTTTTTCCTTTTTATTGAGTAGTATATTATAGTTTATTCTCTCACCAATAGAAACTTAGGTTGTTCTAGATGTGGGATATTACATATAAAGCCCTGTGAATATTGTTCAAAAACTTATCCTGCGAACATTTACTTTCAGGTATCTCGGATAAATATTTAGTACTGAAACTGAAATGCTTAGTTTTTTAAGAAACTGTGAGAAGGTCTTGGGTTCAAGCCCTAGTACTGGAAAAACAATCAATCAAAAATATCTAAACCACTGCATTTCCCATTGAAATTTTCTAAAGAAAATTTCAGCTGAATTTCAATACTCTCATTTCTTGAGTAAACAAAGCTTGTGTGTGTATTGTTTTCCTATAGCCATGTAACAAAGTATCACAAACTGGATGACTTAAAAATAATAGAAATTTATTGTTGTATAGTTCTAGTGACTAGAAGCCAAAAAAAGATGTGTTGATAAATCCATGATCTCTCTGAAGCCTCTAGCACAGGACCCTGAACTAAAACTCTCCTTCTAGCCGTGGTTTGGAAAAATATAAAGAAATCTACTTTGTCTTGAGAAAGGAAAGGAATTTTGAGGTCTGCTTTCCAAGTTTTAACTTATAAAGAGCAAGTGCAAGCTCCTTTCTAGACATGAAATAGTCCTGCTGGGCACCAGGCTTTGAGGACAAAGTTCAAGAATGACCCAGACACCTTGACGCCATAAACTAGGGCTAATTAAGATGATTTTTACTGTGATCTTTTGGTCTTTTTTGTTTTTTAAAAACATTTTATCAAAATTATCCCTTTAATGTCACCTAACATCACAACAGAAGAATGCTTATTAGTTTCCATTATAAAAATTTTTCTTAAGGTGATTACTAGCACATTAAAGCAAGCTTAAGTAAACAGTTTATTTTTAAAAATTCACCCCAAAACACTTGCCCCTGTTTTCATTTCAACTAAGGCTGTATATTGTGTGTATTTCCAGACTACAACAGAAGCTTTTAATTGGAGTTCAGAAATAGATTCAAGAGATATCTAAATTCCCTTAAAATTACATATAACTAGTGGAGGGAGAGAACCAGGCCCCATAGGAGGAAATCCTCCTCCAGAAACCAGAGCCACGTGCGAGCCGCTGCCAGCTTGGGGAGAGCCAGACCCAGTCTTCTCTGTGTGAGTCAGCGCCATTTGCAGACTGCAGAGAGAGAGAACCTGGCCCAACAGGGAGGAGAGATCCCCACCCGGAAACCATATTATTTTCATTGTTTTCTTGGGTTGGGTTTTTATTTACTTTTGTTTTGTATATGCTAACTCTGATGGCATGAGCAGGTATTTAAAAGAGAGCAAGATGTGTTATGCAAACCATCATGTATTTACCAATGGCTTGTTTTGATGTCCTTTATTGCATTTATTGTTTTGTTTTGTTTCAATTCTATTCTGTTCTGTTCAATTTTTACTATGTCCAAAGGTGATATCTGCAGCTATTTTAAAGACAACAAAGGCATTTTAGTAACGATTGTTATTTTTATAATGTTTGGAAGTCCTGTATCACTTATTCTGGTTTATTTTGATTGACTTTATTTTATTTTACTTGGTTTTATTCTCTTTAAAATAAAAATAATGTTCTTAAAGATTACATATAACTTTTGACATGCTTGTATACAGGGACTTTTTCTGGGAAAAGGCTTCAGAGCTTTAATTGGGCTCTTAAAAGAACTTATGACCAAATCCCTCACAACAAAGATGAATACATTATAAATGGTTAAGAGCAACTGAACAAATGGAAATAGCTACCTGGATACAAAGGATGAAATGGATTAAATTAAAAGAAGCTGCAGATGAATTCACTATATGAAGGAAGCACAGTTTCTAACATGCAACATTGTATTCAGAATAAGATTTTCTGTGACATATATCAAGTATTGTATTCTTGCATCATCAAAAATATTTTTGTCAAGTAGGTGTTAGATAAAAATGTTCTTTTATGTTTCTTAATTTTATTTATTTTTCTATACATACATTTTTGTAAGCATTCATGTGATACCCATTCACTCATTTTCACCTCTTTTGATGAAAGTAAATACAAAACTATGTTTTAAGTTGAATTAGTCTCAAAAGGACCAGCCATACCTGACTTTACTTTGTAAAAAGGAAGTACTATTTGATAAAGAAGTCGCAGTGATACAAACCAGTGGTTCTCAAAGTGTGTTCCCTGGTGCAGCAGCAGCGGTGTTGGCTGAGAACTTGTTAGAAATGCAGCCTCCAGTGCCAGCTCCAGCCAAGTTTACTGACCTCAAGCTCTAGAGGTGGGGCTGGGGAGACAGCTCTGCTTCATCAAATAGTCCTGCAGGTGACTTTGATGCTTTTTAACATTAGAGAAATAAGCAAGCCAAACATGGCTGGGCACTTACCATTCAATGTATAAACTGTGAATCTGACAGATGCTACCACTTCATTGCTCTCCAGAGTGTCACACTCAAAAGCCCGGGGATGAACATCTCTTCGTACTTCCAAGATTGCTGAATCATTTGAAAGTACAACAGGTTGCTATGTAAAAAGAAATAAGAAAGTTAGCAACGTTCTTCAGTGCACTTAGGAGGAAACAATTTCTTTCTTTCAACAAAGGAAAAGTCGGCTGGGTGTAGTGGAGCACACCTGTAATCGCAGCTCTTGGGAAGCTAAAGCAGGAAGATCCTCACAAGTTTGAGGTCAGCCAGGGTTACGTACGTAGTGAGTTCGAGGTCAGCCTAAACAACACTGAAAGACCCTATCTCAAAACAAAACAAAACAAAAAACACCTCACAATCTCTTTTAGCTTAATAGGAGAACTATGTAAATGGAGTTTGGAGTCCAACAATCCAGATTCCAAGTTCAACCCTACCACGTCCTTCCTGAAGTGTGGCTGGCTGTGAACAAGTTACTTGCTACATCTCAATTATTTCCCTGTAAAATTGTATAATGTTACAAATTATTTCAGGGTTATGAGGCATGTTAAAAGAGATTCTGAATTTAGGATATGCTTCCTACTTTAAAGGCTTTTAATTAATATTAGTGAGCTACTATTATACAACTCCTCTATGCGCCAATGAAAACCTGGCTTCCAAAACAGAATGTTTTATATAAAATAAATGTTTTTAAATTCTAATCATATCTGACTCTAAGACATATACAAAACCTTAGTGGTGCTAAAGAATGAAAACATTTGAATTCCAATAATAATAAAGTTGTACGATTTTTAACTTCACTTTTGGAAATTGCTTTGAAAAGAGTTTTCTGGCTGTTATCAGAACTGGAAAACAAATTTTATCTCTCACTAGAAAATATCAGGTTACATATGTTTATTACGTACTTGGTTTGACCTTAGAATTTTCCACACATATTTGAACCGATTTACAGGAAATGTACGAATGCAAGCCATTTTAACAGTTTCAAGACTTTCTGAAATTGGTCGACCCCCTAAAAAAGAAAAATTAAATACATAAATCTCATTGGGCATTATAAATTGCTTTACATATATTACTACTTTTAAAAACCTAGCTGGGGGTGGTGGCATATGCCCATAGTCCCAACACTTGGAAGGCTGAGACAGGAGGATTGTTTTAAGTTTGAGGCCAGCTTGTGCTACAAAGGTGAGTTCGAGGTCAGCCTGCACTGCACAGCAAGATGCAGCCTCAAAAAGACAAAAACAACACAACACAAAACAAAACAAAACCAATCTCAGTTTTAAAATATCAGGTACGCTCTGGAAGTCACAAAATCTAATTGGGAGTTCGAGTATATCAGAGAAGAATGACAGATCCAAAGATAAATTCATCAAAAGAAGCAGGGAAGGAGTCCCTGTTTTTTTATGCAGAATAAATTGGTGATGAAAAGATCAGGGTGATCAACTTGGTGATCTGTTACACTCACTCTGAGATATGCTAGTGCTTTCCAATTTTCTGGTTAGGAAACCTCAGTAGAAATACTGACGTGTCAGGATAGCATAATTTGATACAGAACAGTTTTCCAAGTTCTCAATTTAAGGTTTACTAATCTACTGATAAAAAGCCATGATCAAAACACCACCGTGTTTCACCACAACCCCCAAGTACAATGAGGTTTCAGTGGATTATAGAAGATGTTTTTGTTAAATTTTAGACATCACTTTAAAAATATAATACAAAAGCAGAAACTTACTCAGAGCTGTAAGTGTGTAGAGAAGTATTATTTAAATTTTTATAATTTCCTTTCTATGTATCAATTGATGGTCTCCTTGCACCTGGTAACCATCTGAAGTTAAAAATATTCCCCCTGTGTAAATTTTTTCCCCATTACACTCTGAGATAAAATTGACTCACAGCCACAATCTACTGGTCCACGGCATTCTTCTACCCGAACAATACACTTCGATTCACCTCCAGGACACCCATTTGTTAATAAAACTTCTCTAAAACCTATACCTTTAGTGAAAGAAATGGAAAAATGTTAAGAAAAAACCTTATTGCAAACGATTTTTGCTTTCTGATCCAGGGGTGGTTTCCTCTCCTTCTCCCTCTCCCTCTTCTCTCCCTCTCTTCCTTCCCTCTTTCCTCCTGATTTCAGAAATTCAATTCCAAAATTCAGAATAATAACGTTTAGGATTTTCTTAGGTTTCTCATTCTGAATTGTTTCATGCAACAGTATTGTCTCAAGTGAGCTCCATAAAGAACTAGCCCCTCTCTCTAGTCGTTCCCATGAGAAAAAAGATTTCCTGACCACATACACATTTGAAAATGGAACATTAAATAGAGTTAAAGAGGTCTTGTTACTACAGAAGTTTTTAGAAACTTTTCAACGTCAGTAAATGTGCTATTGTATATACATTTTCACTGATCTAAAATGTAAAAATTTTGCATTTTAACATCTTTGAAATCAGGACACGTTTATTATTGTGGCACATCAAATTGTGGCACCTGTATTCTTCCTTTTTGAAATACATAAACTGTGTGGCTTGGAGCCAATAAACTCAGATTTGGTAAACTACACAGTACAGGAGCTCTCCCAAGAAACTGCTTGGAGTGTGAAATGCAGCCTGTAAGGATAGAAAAATGTACCTCAAGTCACTTGGAGATTTTACTGAAATGCAAATTCTGACCATATCTTTCTGGAGAATGTCTAAGATTCTGCATTTCTAACAAGGTTCTTGTTGATGCTGATGCATCAAGCTTCTGTGGTGCACACTCTGAATAGTAAAGGAATGATGCAAGATAAAAGATATCTTTTGATTAAGAGATGGCTGAGAACTGCAGCATAGCTACACTTAAATCTGTGAAAGATACCACAGAAATGTTTTCCAAGCAGGCACTTTATGCATTTATTAGCCAAGTAAAACTTATTGAAAGGTACCTACTTGTGAGATTTTTCCAGGTAACCCCTAGAAATCCTAAGTAGAACCAGAGACTAGAACAAAACTTTTTACTTTTAAAATATTGTTTTAGGACTTAAATATCTTTTTCACTAAATCACTTGTCTTTTTCTCATATGCAGTTGTTTTAAACTGAAAAGATTTTTAACATTTTAGAAATGAAATATTAAGGGTTTTTTCTTTAAAATTCATTACTATCTAAATACTCCAACTTTTACATATTACATGTCCATCTGTTCCTATGACAGTATGCATTTCTTCAATGTAGAGAATTGTATCTGTTTTGTTCACTTCTGAATCCTCAGCATCCGTAACAATTCCTGATACTAAGTAAACAAAATTTTTTTCAACACACACAAAATCACTTAAGTAATTTCTTTAATAAAGGAAAATATTAATTACTAGAGCTATCATAAAAATAATTCTTTGAAAATTTCCTGAGTAAGCAGCAAAAGAAAAACTATAAATGAATAACCACAGGTTTTTATATATCTTCCTTTTATTTGGTCTCTGGACTTACTATGAAGTTAAGGTAAAGACCAAGTTTAAAACTACCCTAAGAAGAGGGTCAAGGTGGTGCATTCCTGAAATCCCAGCACTATGAGAGGCCCAGACAGGAGGATCACAAGTTTGAGCTCAGCCTGGGCAACTTATTAACTTAACAAGGACTAGGGTTGGCAGCTCAGTGCAAAAGCTCTGGGTTCAATCCTCATTACTACAAAGACAAGCAAACAACTGAAACACAAAAATATCATCCTAAGAATAGAAAAAAATAAGGGTTGCCACAGAAGGGAGAAGAGGGCAGAGGAGAGTGAGTGTTTAATGGTGTGGGGTTTCAGTTAGGGCTACTGAATTTAAAAATGACTAAAATGGTAAATTTTGTAAGGTATATTTTACCACAACAAAATAGCTAAATCAAATAATTCAGATATTCATGTTGATGAAAATTTTGACCAAAAATATTCTGGACTAGATGGAATGTTTCTTCTAGTTATTATTTACTCATCACTCGTTTTCTAATGTTCTACCTATGATAAATTTAATTTTACTGTGAATTACCTATTGTCTTCTCAAAGGATGATTCTCTAACCAGTGAGATCAGCTTCACTGTAAACTTGTTAGAAATTCAGATTCTATCCACAGTCTTAGTTAGAAACTGCAGTAGGGTAGATGTTTGAGAGTTCCTAATCTATTACAGGATAGGTAGCTTTAATGTAAGAGACTGTATGTGCAATGTCTATATATGGAATCATCAAAATAAGTCATTTTTAAACCATTATCCCCGGTAATCCAGTATCTCTTTTCTCCAAGATATAACATAAAAATTGGAAAATGGAGAATTTAGAATAGACTATTACAAATAAGCATATTTCTTGATAGACTTGCCAACACAGTATGTGGGAAGACATCTGCGAGATGCACTGGAAAAATCTCTCATGTTCTGAACATCTGTGAGATCAGGAAATTTTTACTTTTGTGAAAAGTTTATATGTCAAAAAGTAACTGGCAGTTGGTTTAAAACTTAGGGATTATGAACTGAAAACATGTTACCTTTTGAAGCAATCAGCTGAGTGTTGTATGCAAACTACAGTTATTAGATACAGAAAACAGTAAGAGATGAATGTATAACAATTACAAATAATGTTTTTACTCCCCCCAAAATTACAATATGAGTTCTCCACCTGCTTTGTGGTACTTACCACATGTGGCTGTACACATTCCAAACTCTACTTCTTTGACTACTGTCTTGTTCAAAACTAAACATAAAGTATAAAATGCATTATTTAATAATATAAAACCCATTATTGTTATGTATTTTATTGTGTACAGACTAATGGCTTTATTTTGGCAGATTTATATATGCTTATAACACTCTGATCATATTTGCCTTCCATCTCATGCTTTTTCGTCCCCCTTCCTCTCGTTTGAAACCTTTTCTCTAATAGTCCCCCTTCAATTTACATACAAAAACTTCTCTAAGTGAAAAATCTTCTTACTTGGGGTTGAGAATACAACGCCATTCCTTGTATACCTGCTGTTATCATCTAAATCAAACGAAATCTAACCCTTTAAAGAAGTTCATAAAGTAGGACATAGAAGGTATTTTAGCTTTGTACATAGCTTATGTGTTTTTTTCCATCAGTTAATACATGCTGAGTTAAAGTTCTATTTGAAAGAAAAACCACAAAAAAGCCTTTGAATTTTATGAATTTTTTTCATACTTATTATCCCAAAAAAGAAAAATGGTGCATAATTTTCATCCAAAATGAAAAATGTTAATATCAAGTGTTCATTAAAGTTATAAAAGTTTTAGATTGGTTTTACTCATTTCCAGGTTGAAATAGTGAATTTAAGCATTTCCAAAAATTTATTTTAGTACTTTCTTTAGCAGGACAGCCTAGGAATGTAATTATTTGAAAAGTTATTCTTAGTCTTAAATCACATTTCCTTTTTTCTAATCATATTAAAGTTTGGCATGAATTCGAGTAGCTACAGTGTATAATCAGCTCTTTATAGCACAGATTAGGACTGAAATCTCAGTAGAAAAAACAAGGTGTTAAAAGATAATTTGTAAAACACACTGTATCTTGGGGCAAGAAATCACATGGGAAAAAGCACATTGAACTTGAAGTCCAAAGAGCTGCCTTTAGTACTAATTAGCTGTGAGTCTGAGGAACTTAATTAAATTCTGTCAGGCCCAGTTAACTCTTCACAAAATTTGGAAGAATTTCTCTCATCTGATTCATCTTAAGAGTTTGTGTGTGAAAGAATTACATAAATTGTTTAGCACTATAAATATGCTTAAGATATGATCTCACCCAATTCAAACACTTTGTAATTATTGGTTTCATATATTATTAAGAATTCTTTTAAATTATGATTATTACAAAATCTCAATAGCTTCTTAAACACTGTATCATATACTTGCAAGCACCAAATTCAGTATCGTGAAGTAGGCACTTACCACATATAAGTAAAACAGTATTTGACTTCAAAAATAAATGACTAGACTATTAGTGATCAAATTTGATTTAACATTTTTCTGCTTTGAATGCTTGAATACTTTCAGCTAGTACTTTATAAAACATGGCTAAGGGTTGAGGATGCAGTTGAGTTTTAGAGCTCTTGCCTAGCGTGTGAGAGACTTTGGGTTCAATCCCAGAGCCAAGAATCTATCAAATCCGTATCTATATAAATAGTATAAAATATATTTTATAGGTATATAAAAGGGTACATAAGGCATATAAAAGAAAGGTATTCATCTAACATAATATTCTTGTGATTATTCCTTATCTTGAAACATGTTATCTTCCATAATATTTCATCACTATGTTTTTTTAAAAATAAAACTGAAGAATCCTTGACTGAAGGGCAGGGGATATAGCTCAGTGCCCAAGTGCCTGCCTGGCAAGCACAAAGTCCTGAGTTTAAGTCCCAGTTTGAAAAAAAAAAAAAAAAAGAATGAAGTTTCCCAGAAATATGATGTAATTGTGAAATAAATCACAGCTATTACCACTAGCGTCTGACTTTTTTATTTCTTTACTCAAAATGTTTCATTATCTTTCAGAAGTATATGTGAAAAGTCTAGAGGCATCTTCTTTGTAGTCTGCCTCAGTTTTCAATGAACAAAATTGAGATTGCATAATTTTTCATTTTTTGCCCATAGTGGCCAAGAGAATAAAACTGACAGAGAAAAACATTTCACAATTATTGAATGAATCGGAAGATAGCAGCACTTTGGAACATGATGGTGAGATTGCTGTATAAACAAAAATCTCAGTGACAGTATCCTAGAATAGTATCTTGGATGAATTTTCTCTGACTTAAGAATCAATGAGTGAACATTGTATTTCTAAGGATGAAAAGAATATAAGGAATTTTCATCCAGTTCTACCTTTCAAGAGAAAGGGTGATCTTGATGTATTTTATGATAATAATCTAAACCACACTGTTTTTCCAAAAGGCTAGGGACAGTATTTTTCCTTTTTGTGTTCACCCACAAACATTTACTTGATAAGAGTTATAAATGTGTAAATGATGATGGCAGGTGTTTCTATAAAAGTGACTAAAAGAAGATAGCTGGCATAGAAATAAACAAAACATTGAATTAATCGATCCAATTGGTGTTTATTAATCTAAAAACAAAAATATTTAGCAATTATGCAGCAAAATATGGCATTCTTCTCTTCAACAAAATATGTGCTTTCATAGTCTTAAAAAGTTTTGACAATAGAAATAGAAAAATAACTTGAATGAAAATAAACTAGACTATACTAGAGTTGTACTTGAAATCTGGAATCACTATTCACAGGATGAATATGTTCCAGATTCATGCTTAACAGCTACACATTAGTTGCATTCAGAATATTTGATCCAATTAGAGCATGTACAGCTTCAAAACTGTGATATATTGAATAAAAATCTGAGGTTCGCTTATGTTTAAATTCTACTAAAATTTCCATCAAGGATGTTTTCAACTGACTAAGTTTTGTCAATTACTTGGAAATGATTTAAAACTGAAAAAAATTAGTCTTCTAGCTAGGAAGTGGTAATGATTGTTTTTACTGGTCCATTATAGTTAGAAGAGCTATACAAACTTTATCAATGGTCCTGGAAATTTTCTAGTCTTTTGATACCCTTGGTAGCTTGCAGTTCTGTATGCTCAATTTCCCCAGAAAATGCACTCAATCATAAAATTGTATAGATGATATACCAGAGGGTACCTGGACTCTCTGAAGTCTACGGATGAGGAAACTGAGACACTGAGAAAATCAGTAACTTATCTACAATTGAATCTGAATGTAAGGCATTATAACTCCATCATTTGGGTTTACCCTAATAATATTTAGCATTTTACAGCTAGAAGCATCTTGTGACTAGTTTAATACTAAAATTGTTCATTTCATTACTTTAAAAGATAGAATCAACCAATAGCTACTATGCTTTAGAATGCTCTCTTCTTTCCTAGTCATTTTTCTTTTTCACATTTCTAAAGGACCTATTCGAGCTTTCTGAAATATAATGTTATCAAGATAGTACAAACCTGGATCCCACTATCAACCTCACATAGTCAATTTCTTTCTGACGCTGGTCACTATCTGTCATCAGGAAGAAAAAAAAAAGGCTGATAGACACAGCCATCCACTCTATATGTACAGATAGAGAAGACAGGAGAATGTCAAGGATATTAAATTTTTCAGTGTATCATTTATGGGGGAAGGGAATCACCTCCCTTTAGAAGGCTGCAAACTTGCCAGTGACCTTTTGCCTACCAGCATGCGTCACTAATCCATATAACATGTACCACAGCTTGTCAACTTTTATAGCTTAATGAGCCAGCAGTATAGCACAAATTTATGTACCAAGCACAGGCTTGGTTAACATGTTATCACCTAACGATGCTGTTAGTTGTATCCCTTGATAGGTGTTTTCCGCTGGCACTATTAGTTTGAAGTTAAACATACAAATCAAACCCTCTCATACTGCAAAGGTGCTGAACGGTAGGCAGTGCATGAAGCTGACAAGTGACTTTGCGACAGTTTCGTTAGCATTCTAGTCTAGATGTGTCACAGTAAAAGGAATTATCAGTTCCACTGTGATTCCCTCACTGGGTAGGAGGACGCCTTCAAGCATTCTGTAATTCAAAAAGAAATTAACAATGGAAAGGTGAAATGGCTGCAAAAAGTCAAGATGATTCCCCCACGTGGAACAAACTTCCTCTTAATTGCGTCCCTTAATGTTTCTCCTTCTCAAGTAGTATTTAAAAGTATACATCCTTCTTCAAGGCCCTAAAATGCACAGAATCGGTAAACTCGGGGCTGATGTAGGAGACAGCGCTCTACAGACGGGAGCATGCCTAATTCTAGTCTTGCACAAAGAGCGGGCAGGTTTTGCCCTCCGCGGGGCCCTCAGCGCGCCCTGCAAGGAGCCTCCACCCTCACCATCATCCCCGGCCTCGGTCGGGGCCTCCTTCTCTGACACTTCGTTGTAGCTGTCGTCCTCGTTCTCGCCCTCGCTGTCGCCGTCGCCGTCGCCCTCGCCGTCGCTGTCCCCGTCCCCGTCGCGGGTGAAGCCTGACTCCTGCAGGGCGGTGACATTCGTGGCGCCGGAGGACCGAAGGCCCGCCAGGAGCAGCCAGCCCACGGTCAGCAGCAGCCCAGCGGAGCAACCCGCACCCCCAGGGCTCATGTTCGGGCCCCGACGGCCGCTCAGTACACAGCGGCAGTCCGCGCTCCAATTCGAAGGCGCGTCCAGGGGAGAAGCCACGACACAAGCACTCCGAACCTCGGAGCCCGGCCCAGGCAACCATTGAGGCGTCACGGCCTTCCGCGATCGGCCTCACCGGGGCTCCAGGCTGCACGCGCGCAGGCGGGCGGGGGCCGAGCAGCGGGGCGCGGGCAGGGGGCGCCCTTCCCGCCCGGCTCCAGTCCCCGCCCTCCGCGCCGCCCCCCGCTCCTGGGTGCTGCGCCCGAGCGCCGGGCCTCAGGTTCACCTATGACCTCCCTTTTCGTGCTTTCTACTGTCCCCCCTTTCCAGATTAGATGGCCTAGACCCTTCAGTGCTCCTCGTGGGACTTGGTTTCAGAATTGGCTATCGAAAATATCCAACCTGGTATGTATCCGGAAAGCTTCGTCACCAGTCTTAGGAATGGGACCCCAAATTGCATCTTAGAACTGTAGGCGAGGTTTGTTGGTCTGTAGATAACCAGAGAGTACTTTGGTTCTGCTTTCTAAACACCAGTGTAAATGCAGCTCAAGTGTGTATTCTTATTTTAAGGTTTTGTGTAGCACCACTGACTCTGTGGAAGACTCCTTGAGCTGACAGAGGTGAGGAGAGAAAAGGAGAAAAACTGTCAGACTAATTTGTCCTCATTCTGTTTCTGGGTAGCTGATGTTTTGGATACCAATTATGGGACATAAGACTTAACTTGCACTCCTGTGATTTTTCTTCTGGCCTTTAATCTTGTGCGTTTTCTTCCCTCATCTAGAGATACATTTGAATTCTGATTCTATGGTCTTAACATGTTAAACATCTCTCCCAAGGTTGACTTCAAAAATACTTCTCCTACAGGTCACTGCCAAAAATGAAAAAGAGTACAATAGGTCAAGAATAAAATCTTGCAAGGTCAGTTTAATAAAATGCTCCATTAATCTACACATTGATGTAAATCAATGTAAATCACAAAAAAAAAAGAGTTAGCATCTTTTACTAAGATTGAATTGGACTAGAAACAAGAATACCTTCCTACAATATCTTGGCGCTTTCACCTGAATCAGTAGAAAATATCAGTGCTTGAGTATAACTATCACTGCGCTATTCAATATCTGTATGTCCAATTATGTCAAAGCAAGAAGTGAAATTGAATTAAGTTCCTTTGGTGCATGATGTTAATTTTGATGGTCTAATTAATTCACACTTCTTCCGGAATAGAATCATGGATTTAGAAGCTTAAAAATCTTTTAAATACTCCAATCTCTTCATTATTGAGAACCTCAGGAACTGGAGAGATTAAACAACAAGCCCAAGATCATCCAGCAAACTGTTGGCAGAGTTGGAGCTCACAACCAGATGTCCTGAATGCCCTTGCAGTGCTTTGTGATTCTTATAATTTAAAGTTATCAGTGGAGATGCACTTAATGTAATGATTCAATGTCTGAGTTCAAGCACTGAAAGCAAATTAGGGTTGGCATTTTTGTTTTTGTTATTCAAAGTTTGACTTCATATAATAGTTACTGTATAATAGCTTTTTGTTACTGTTTTTGGAAAGATGCATATAGTGTCATATGTACTTTGACATTCAGTGTTAAAATTCTTATGAGTCAGAATTAAAAGTCACATACTAACAGGTGAATTTGAGGCTTAAACTATGACTTTTGGAGCATTTGTTTATCCAGTCTCAGCAGACTAACAGGTAGCAGAGAGCTCTGAGGTTCTTCACAGCCACTTATTTGTAACAAAAGTAGATGACATGAAGCAAAAGTCCCCAAATGAATTGTTTTTCCTTTCAGAGAGGCTTCTAATAATAAAAAGGCAAGAACTTCTAAAAATGTGCAATATTAAAATTTGGGTTGGTATTAGTAAAGAGTCTCTGGGAATATACATATGAATTAAAATACCATAAAATACTATACCACATAACAAGATTATGAGGATTATTAAAATGGGAAAGTTAAAGATGGTTTTGAGAAGTAAAGATCTTTTTGATTCTTGTGCAAATAAATTGTTTTTTTGAATCCTGAGAAAAGTAAAACAATTTCAAGCAGGAACTTTAAAAAAGATCTATAAATATTGTCATGGATAAGTTGTTGACTGTTTCAAAGTCAACTGTAGAATATATCTTCCTGAAGGTACCTATTTTGAGCAGAGGAAGTGCCGTAAACCCTACATTAGTGGCCTAATAACTCCAAAAGTAATCCAAATGAGTCTCAAAGAGAAACTGGAAAGTATAACTCTGATATAAAGAATATTAATATCTCCAACAGCAATACATCACTTGTAAAATAGTGCATGATTTGTATAACAAATTGTGTTCTTGTATAAGAAAAATATATCTGTCCTTCAGAAACATATACTCCTAGGTCATACCAAGAATAAGTAAAAGGCAAAATTTTAACCAGATCTATGGAGGGTTTGACTCTGTTCTGAGCTATGGACACCAAGGAACAGGACTCCAACCTCAGGCCTCACTTTGCAGCTCTGACTCTGCTCCCCTCAGTTTAGTTTGTTAATATGATAAATTATATTGACTGATCTTCTAACGTTGACCCAACCTTGTATTCCTGGGAAAAATCCACTTAGTTATGATGTATTACCCTTTTATGTACTGATGCATTCATTGGCTATTTTGTTTAGAATTTGTACATCAATATTGATGAAAAATAGTGATTTAGAGTTTTCTTTTTTTGCAATATCTTTGTCTAGTTTTGGTATCAGTGAACACTGACCTCATAGACTGAGTTGGCAACTCTTCCGTGTGCCTTTTCATAGTCACTTTTCAGTCACTGGAACAAAATATCCAACACCCAGAATTCAAAGGAAGAGCGGTTTATTTGCCTTACAGTTTCCAGTGTGTTCCATCCTGACTAATATTAGCATCTCATAACATTTTTTGTCCACTTTTAACTTATTGTAACCTTATGTTTTAGTTGTTTGATTTAGTACAATTCTGCATGTGAATAATGGCAAGGCTCACCATGGGTATGTGTTGCACCAACCAGTAAGTTTTCACCCTGAATGGAGTAAAATGGGAACGACGGCTAGCTGCTTTCTGCCTGCTGTGCCCTGGACTGTTCCTCCTCTGCCATGCTTCCCTGCCTTGGAGCCAGCCAACTGTGGACTGAAACCTCTATAAACTGTGAGCCAAAGTAACTTTAACTTTTAGGTTGCTGGGTATTTTGTCCCATCTATGAGAAAGTAAGACAATAATAAAACACCACCGAGAATACTAGCATTGTTGCAATCGAGACACAGAACATTTTCTTCTCTTTAAGATCCCCTCTTGTTGCCCGCCAATAGCTACCCCTACTGCTTTGATGCTCTGTCTCCCTTCCTGGAAACCACCATATATTATCTATTTCAATAATTCTGTCTATTCAAGAGTGATATATAAATGAAATCTTAGAGTATATAACTTTTTGAAAGTACCTTTTTAAACTCAGTGTCTATTTTTCAGTATAGCGTATGCATAATGTATGTATTGATTCTTTTGACTGCTAAATAGTGTTTCATGGTAGAAATGTAGCACAATTTGTTTACTCAATATTGAAGGACATATGGATTGTTTTCAGTTTAGGGTTGCCAAAAATTAAGTTGCTATAAACATTTATTATAGATTTTTGAGTGATCCTGTTTCCTTTTCTCTGTAATAAATGCTAGAAGCCGAATTACTGAGTTGTATGATAAGGATATGTTTAGTTATAAAAAAGTTGTCAAACTTTTCTAGAGTAGCTGTACCATTTTATGTTTCCAACAATGTTTGCAAAATCAGTTTCTTCATATCCTTATCAAGTATTGATTTTTAATTTTTACCACTTTGAGAGGTATACCATGTATTCTAAATACTAATCCTTTGGTGGATACGTAGTTTGCAAATATTTTCTGAGGCTGCAGTTTCTTTTTTATCCTCTTAACAGGGTCTTACATAGGCCAAATGTTTTCATTTTAATGCTATTGTGAAAGGTGTGGTTTCACTGATTTTTCTCTCAGTGAGTTTGTTATTCATATACAGGACTTATTTGAATTTGTGAATATTGATTGTGTATGCAGCTACACTACTGAAGTTGGTTATCAAGTCTACAAGTCTAATGTTGGAGTTTTTAGGATCTTCTATATAAAGTATCATGTCATCTGGAAATAACGATAGTTTAACTTCTTCTTTTCCTATCCTTACTCCTTTTATTTCTTTCTCTTGCCTAACTGCTCTGGCTGGTGCTTCTAAAAATATATTGAATAGGAGTAATGACAGTGGACATCCTTCTCTTATTCCTGATTTTAGGCTAAAAGCTTGTTGGCTATTGGTTTTTCATAGATAGCTCTTATCTGATTGAAGTAAAAATTATCTATTCCATTTCTCTGTAAGGTATTTTTTTGTCATGAATACGTGTTGGACATTGTCAGATGCTTTTTCTGCACCTATTGGTTGATCATGTGATTTTTGTAGTTGGCTGGGTAATATGGTATATTACATTTATTGATTTGTGCATGTTGAACCACCCCTGCATCACTGGGATGAATCCCACTTGGTCATGGAGTATAATCTTCTTGATTTGCAACATTCTGTTCCACAGTACCTTATTAAGGATTTTTGTACCTTTGTTCAATAGGGAGATTGGCCTGCAGTTTTCTTTTTTGATTGGACCCATCTCTGGACTTGGTATCAAGGTAATATTTGCTTCTAAGAATGATTTTGGAAGTCTTGCTTTCCTTTCAATTTCATTAAAAAGTTTGAGAAGCAGTGGTATTAAATCTTCTCTAAATTTCTTGTAGAATTCAGCAGTGAATCCACCAAGACATGGGCTTTTCTTTGTTGGTAGGGGTTTGATTATATATCTCCAATTCCATTGACTGATTTTAGCTTATTTAGAATATTGTATCTTCTTGATTCAGCTTTGGTAATTCATATGTATTTGAAATCTGTCCATTTTTAAAATATTTTCTTTCTTATTAGAGTATAAGTCCTGAAAGTTGAT